TGTTTTGTTTTGTTTTGTTTTTATAATGAAAGAAGTTGAGTTCAATAAATTTGTCTCTTAGAAAAATATTAAATGCCACCAATTTAATAACCTAATAATTAAAAGGAGATAATGTCCCTCAGTGTCACAGCTATAAATAATCAGCAGCAACAGTGATGGACGATTTGCTATTGTCACTAGGAAAACATTCAGAATCTGAAGTCTTCAGGTGGCCCACGAAACATGAACTAGCGCACCTACATGACCATGTAACCCCCCTGTAATACTTGCTTCCCAGATATATCTTTAGTGTGAATACAAAGTAATATACTTGAAATGATTTAGAAAAATGTAAAAAAATACTTTGAGAAATAAAAGCTATCAATTAACTTTTAATCTTGATATTTTTAGGATGGTGGGTGTTCAACCACTTGAGCCACATCTTCAGCTCTGCTTTTTGTTAGTTATTTTGCAGATGAATCCTCACTCGTATCTCTGCCCAGTTGGCCTCAAAGCCTACTCCTTCACATCTCCGCCAGACGGAGGCTAGAATGCACTTTTGAACCCCTAACACCCAGCTAACATCAAATTTTATGTGTAAAAACACACCTTTTCCAAATACATTTATGAAGAAAGACTAAGGTGGAAACATTTTACACTTACTGATAACATACCAAAGTACCTATTCATTTGATTGTTTAACCTTGGCCACACTGAATATACATTGCTCAATGCTCACTATTAAAAGTTCAAACAACATTCTTGGTATAATTTTTTGGATTCTTTTTGTTTAGTCTTCCATTTGAAGTCAGAAGATGTATGAAGTCTCTGTTATGCTTTAGGTCTAGCTCAATGTCTGTGCTTGTATAGGAAATTTTTTACTTGGCATGGTTTTGCTTTGTTTTAGGGTTTGCTTGGTTAAACAATGGAACCAGTGAATTATCTGTGCCAACAAATCACCAACAGGAAGTTTTACTATGAAAACTTTTCTTTGAATAAAGCAATCCATTATTGTTTTGTAATTTTGCATTCAGATCATATTAAACACAAAAGAAATTTAAGATCAAACATGAATCATTTTTGGTAAGGATTTAATGCCAAAATCTGGTTTTATAAATGTCCACTTATGTACAAATGGGACAATATTACTTTTTAGGTACACAATTCCTCAAGATTTAAAAAACCTTTTCACTGAAGGATGTTATTATATGGAATAAACATGTGCAAATGTCTTTTTCAATAACAGATATATATTCAAAGGAAAATTTAATCTTCCTCAGCCAAAAGCTACAGTCCCTCAACAAAAATGTACAACATTGTTATAAATTCAACTATCTACATAATTATTAATACTTGTGTGCTTTTTTTCCATTAGAAGATGAACAAGAACTATAAATTCAATATTTTAGGATCACACTGAAAAAGTTTAAGGAATGGAGTTTTAAAATATGGAAGATATTTTGTATAGTCCATGTTCCCAGAGTAGTCACTCTGCTTGCCTTTACATTCTTAACCTTGCAAAGGGGACCCTGAAAAAGGTACACAGATGTTCTGAGGTAGAATTTGTCCAGTGCAGAATGAATACATGCATTTCATTGTCTCATTTTTTCCCCTTAATGCTTAACTCTGTCTTCTCATCCTCTAATTCCATCCATCTACATCATCACCTTGGAATATTTATGACATACATTCCCATTTAGACATTGTAGCTTTGGGCTATGGAGATGAGATTTTGTTCTCCAGGACTGGAAGAAAAAGATCCCTATTATGAATCATAGAGTACCAGGACTCTGCTTTCTCCAGGGTACTGCTCTACATTGACAACTAGAGATAGGTTCATTTCTTCAGACTGGGTATTTTCAAGCACCCTTTAGGGTTGAACTCTTTGAAAGATGAGATAAATTGTTGAAAGTCATATTAAAACATAAACTATCAGTTTTGCCTAAGAATAGCTGCTTAGATTTGTTCTTCTTCTAATATGTAGTAAATAGAAGACAGATTAAGTGAGAAGAGTAATAAAATCTATTTTTGAGTAATTGTGAATAAATTGACTTTTCAAATTTTGGGACTTCATATTGGAAAAATTATTTTATGTTAAATAATCAGTAATTTAGATATTTTATAGTGGTTTAATAATCATTAGCATATATTCTGCCATAAATGTTTTGGAAAGAATTACTAATAATTGCATTGCACATATAATAAGATAATTTGGAAAGGATAACGAATAAAATTTAAAGTACAATAAGTATTCAGTACTTAGTGCTACAGTACTTAGTCAGCGAAGCTAAACACTACCATCTTGAATTAAGATAAAATTTACAACTTTTTCTCTAGTGATTTTTGGCCTACATCCCTTTTCTGTTCTCATACAAAACATATATTTGTGAAAGTACCATACAAAAGGGTTACAATTACATGAGCAAGGTAATGAGTACATCAGCTTTGTTGCCTCCTCCTTTGTTAACCCTTCCCATCCCTTCCCATCTCTGAACCCCCACCCCACACGGGCCAAAGTTGTAAAGTTTGTTTTTTGACATAATATCTTGTACATCTCATTGTTGCAATGGGTCCACCTGTGTCCCTATTTAAACAATTTGTTTTTTTTCCATTCACCTCCACAAATTATACCAATATCAAATACAGTGAAAACAGGGGTTATACCGTGGGGGAGGGACATTCAAAGCAACAAAGAAATCATCTTATAAATATGTTAGAAACAATAGCAAGAAAGAAAAAAAAAACACTTGTGTTCCTATCTTGGAGTTCCTTTCGCCTAACATCATCAACTTATCTGACCGTTTCTCAGACATATATTAGTTACTGCAAATAAGGGAAACCATGGGACCTATGTTTCTTTGGGCCTGGCTTACTTCACTTAGAGAGATAAACAAGCTTTCTACAGAGAGTTAAACCTGAATCTAAAATTATCTCATTTATCAGTTTTCTTTCCATGGTTCAGTGTAACCAACCAACAGTTCATGAACTAGAAAGTCAAAAAGTAATTCAGGGACAATACATTCAAATTACATTACTTCAAATTGCTGTTTACAGGGAAATGTTCGAATTGGCTGAAATTAGAAAGCATGCAATATACAGATGAAATATTTGAATTCTTTACATGGTTTGAGTCATTTACCTGTACAAAATATTCTCCATATATTATCTTGTCCCTATAACCTAAAAGAATATATTGACAAAGTTAGGTCTAAAATTGGACAGGGAAATAGTTCTTAGTTTTTCTTGAGATTAGTATTCTATTGTATACTGAAGTAGCTAAGTCATTAGATTAATTGAAATTAATTTAAGTTGATTATCAGCAAGTAGCAAACTGTGCCAAAGAGCAATTCCTCATTTTTAGTGTATTTATTTTCTTAATCTCTCCATCATCCTTATTTTTTTCTCTATCATACCTTAAAAGACACAGTGACATTAAAATAACTGATGACTCTATGTCTGGAAGAATTCAATACAAAGGAAAGTGGAAATGTCAAATATGATCACAAAAATAAAGCTCTCTAAAACTATGGAAACTGTGGATCTGAGTGAATATCTACAATAATTATTTTAAAATCTGATTTGATATCCTTCCATTTGGATAACTTCAACCAGATCAAACCTGCTAGCATCTTCTGAAATGAGACACAAGGTTAAAGTAATATTCTTTAGAGTTTATAAGCAAGGATAAATCTGAATGGATTGTTTGCAAATAAATAATTGACAACACCTAGTATATCCATTTAGGATATCACAATGTTTAGGTAATTGGAGTAGAGGTGAGAATCAACAATTCCTTAGTCACAAGAGCTTAAAAAAATAAGGAATGGGACAGATCGGTATTATTAGAGTAATTTGGAAACTTTAAAAATTATTAAAATATAATATTTTAAATAAATTTTCTCTTAGCTAATAAAATTCAGGCAATTGTAACTTTCATATATTTATCTAAATTATTACAATTATATCTGTTACAGATAGTTTCATACTTTTGTGTGATAAACAGGATTATATTAATGGAAAACATTTTTTACAGATTCTAAAATATATTATAAAACAACCAAAATTCCATTTTGAATAAGCATCTCATAAAAAGCACCTCACTTCTAGCTTTATTATTAAGCACTAGCACTGGGAAAATAACTAATAAAAGAGAATTTTATCTTAGAATCTTATATGCATGATTTTAATTTTTTTAAGAAAAGCAAAAAGGTGTAGGCTTTAGGAAAACAGTTTGTGCTAATAATTTCATCTTAATTAGTGCACAATTTCAAATCTAAACAAAAAAAAAACAAGAATAACTACTGTAATGTTTGTTGTTTTGCTCAACATGTTTGAATGGCCTAGCCTTATAGATGAGACTTTCATATAAAATAACATGAACTTGTTTCCATTAACATTCACTGCTCTCTATTTGGTAGGAAAGGAATGGAAAGACCATTTACAGAAAGAGGAGGAGTTGAGCCGTCCCAAGGTGGAGCTGTCTCTTGTGTTATATGACACTGGCAGTTTAAAGTGCTCTAATGGGGAAGGGCTTAAAGGCTGAGTCAAAAGCCAAGAAGTCTCTTTATTTACGCCTACCTCCCAGCCCTTGGCAATCTGACTAATAACAAACTGAGCTAACAAGAAAGACTAGAAAGGGAGGAAAGAGAACCTTGCTGCATGCAGCTTGGATCTACAATCTAAAAAACAAGAGTGATCAATCCCAGCGCTGTTAAACATCTTGTTTATTTTCTGCATTCAGCAGCTTGCAAATGGTTAACTATATGCCAAAAGGAAAAAAAAAAGTCAGCATAGCAGTGAAGTATGCCATGAATTTTAATTGAGGGGATAAAGAGAGAAATGCTTCAGGATGCTCCAGCATGCATTCTGCTTGCAATATTTTCTTTGAAATGTTCAGCATTTTGTCTTTGACTGGAGGTTTTTAACTTTTGCAAGCTACAGGACTTGTCAAGAAGTGGTATTTGAGGAGAAAGTACATGCTGGTGTTCGCTGCTTTCTCTTTTAATAAAGAAACTGAATTACTTTGAACATCTCTTCCAGCTGTGCAATACAGAAAACACGTCAGGAAAGAATCTGCTTTACAGGTAAGATGAATGTTTCCAGCCTTTTCAATACTGATGTTTGCATTATCATCAAGGGATTGCATTTGTATGTTTGCCACTTAAAAAAATATAGTAACTTTGCTTACGGTTTTCAGTCATATTTTTCTCAGTGGCCAAACTAACACTTTAGCAGATGCCTATTTTCTCTGAGCACTAGACATTTAGTCCAACAGCTGGCTCTGTAGAAACGAAGTAATATAATGTTATACCATTATGCCTTTTAAAACATGTGGTTTATTATTGGTACTGAGTATGTTTGCTTCCTGCTTAAAAAATAGATGCCATTGTTGAATTCCTAATATAGGCAGAATACTGGAGAAATCTTTGTATATTGTGAGCTACTTTTATTGTATTCTCTGACTTGAGAATGTAGATTTTCCTGAAAATATATGTGTCAGGGAGTTTTGACCTCTTAAAGACTGTATGGTATCAGATGTGGTTGATTCTGGGCACACCTCAAGTTTTTTTTTTTTTTTTATGTCTGGAAAGATTAGAAACTGTTTTCTAATATACTGTGAAGCACAGAATGCATGTAAGATTTTTTTCTTAAAGTGAGATATTGTCATCTGGAAATTATTTACTATTTTCTGAGGATGCTGTGCTAGGTGAAATCCAGCATTTTCTTTGCTGATGATTTATGAAGAAGTACTTATATTGTTTTTGGAAGCTAATCCACAAGTTGAAAACTCCAACTACAAGCTCCTTATTTCTAAGCACATAAGTCAGGATAGTTTAAAACCTAGCTATTTCCCTATGGAAACCTAAAGCCTTCTAACTTTCCTTTTATTTATAAAGACTATACTGGTTTGTTTCTTTGGTTACCTTTTGTCTTTCCCAGACTTGAGACTGTTCATGGTTTCAATAAAATAATGCATTTTCAGGAAATTGAAGTTTACTTTCAGCATTATTGAGTGCATCTGGAATAACTTATTCGATTTTGCTTTAAATTTTTGATTGGGTCCATTGTTTGTATTTCATCAACAAATAAGCAAGTTTCATTTTGAAAAGTTCACATAAGGTGTGGTGTTCATCTCATAATTTGGGTTATATATTTAAGATAAACTAAGTGAATGAAACAGAACTGGATAATCAGTAGCATTGTGTATGCTTAGGAGGAATAAAATATCACTAAATGATCAGTATTGTTGTTCAAGTTTACCTTGCCCTTGCTGATGTTTCAAGGTTAAGAGCTACTGTTTCAAATGCACAATTTAAATTTTGAGAGAGCTAGAATATGTGATGTTGTTCCGATGAACTGTTATTTTGAACCAAATTATATATGGTCTCAAAATATTTTACATAGTGCAGTTTGTTTCAGAGCTCATTGTTTGAGACTTCAAGCTTGAAATAGAGTTGATCAACTGCTTAATTATGTGGTGACATTTACTGCCTAAAGCCTGCTTCAAGTCCTCACCTGGAAGTCATCTGGGTTGAAGTTGACATGAGGCATTGTTTATTCTTTAATAATAGCTTGAAATCATGCTAATACTCAATTTTCTCCCTTGGTTGTTTGTAAATTTTTACCTATGGCTAAAAAGTTTAAAAGAAGCAGTATTCCATATCTATTCCTTATCTGACTATAAGTGTGACTTCAGTTAAATTTAATGGGATACTCTCAAGTCTTATGTATATACACAATTGTAATTTAAGACAGTATTTCAGGCCAGAATAGCCAAAATAGAGTTGTTTTATAATGCTATATATTATTACACCATGAAGGACACATTTTCCCAATATTTATTAAAATAAACAGTAGTATATTATTCCCAAATCAAGACTGATGAGCATACAGACATATTTATAAACTAAGGGAATACATACTACCTGCAGATATACATTCACGTACATTCTTTCTAGTCACCATCTAGAGTTCCCCAGGTTTCTAGCTAATATATATATATATTATATTTGTAATATATTATATTATTTATTACATTTCATTATATATATATATATCCTTGACCTATAATCATCAAGCATTAGTTCTTATTATTGTAAGATTTAAAGAATGCTTAAAAACAAGGTGTTTTTAACCACATACTTTTGTATTATGTTATGAACATGATACAAGCAAGCATCCATCTCGTATGTTCAAATGCAGGTTTCAGGTGTCAACACAAATGTTACGCTAATATTATAACATCTCTGTGCTGAATTTTATACTTTGATGCAAGTTGAAAGTTATTCAGAATAGGTCTGAGTATTGGAAAATATATTAAAAACAAATGTAAGTGTTATAACCCATTCAGATTTTCATACTAGCTGGAAACCTATCATTTGAAAATGTTAGAGTTATCTCACTGTCTCACCCATTAAAGTCCACTGTTACTGCATTTTATTTTACAGGGTTAGACCCCCATCACATGACAACATGAAGCTGTGGACTCATCTCTTTTATTCATCTCTGCTTGCCTGTATATCTTTACAGTCCCCATCACCAGTGCCCTCACTCAAAGGATCTTGTGATACCCTTTGCAACTGTGAGGAAAAAGATGGCACAATGTTAATAAATTGTGAAGAAAAAGGTATCAAGGAATTATCCCAAATAAGTGTGCCACCATCACGACCTTTTCACCTGAGCTTATTGAATAATGGCTTGACAATGCTACATACCAATGACTTTTCTGGACTTAGCAATGCTATTTCCATACACCTGGGATTTAACAACATTGCAGACATTGAGACTGGTGCGTTTAATGGCCTTGGCCTTCTGAAACAACTTCATATCAACCACAATTCTTTAGAAATTCTTAAGGAGGACACTTTTCATGGATTAGAAAACTTGGAATTCCTACAAGCCGATAACAATTTCATTACAGTGATTGAACCAAGTGCCTTCAGCAAGCTCAACAGACTTAAAGTTTTAATCTTAAATGACAATGCTATTGAGAGTCTTCCACCAAACATCTTTCGATTTGTTCCTCTAACCCACTTAGATCTGCGTGGAAATCAGTTGCAAACATTGCCTTATGTTGGTTTTTTAGAACACATTGGCCGAATATTGGATCTCCAGTTGGAGGACAATAAGTGGGCATGCAATTGTGACTTATTGCAACTCAAAATCTGGTTGGAGAACATGCCTCCACAGTCTGTCATTGGGGATGTCGTATGCAACAGTCCGCCATTTTTCAAAGGAAGCATATTGAGTCGACTGAAAGCAGAGTCAATTTGCCCAACTCCACCAGTGTATGAAGAGTTCGAGGACCCTTCTGGATCATTGCACCTGGCAGTCACATCTTCAATAAGTGATAGTCTCATGTCAACCAAGACCATATCCATTTTTAAACCACCTACCAAAGCACCTGGTTTGAATCCTTATCTTACAAAGCCATCGACTCAGCTCCCAACACCCTACTGTCCAATTCCTTGCAACTGCAAAGTCCTAACCCCATCAGGACTTCTAATACATTGTCAAGAACGCAACATCGAAAGCATAGCAGATCTAAAACCTCCTCCACAGAATCCCAGAAAGCTGATTCTAGCAGGAAACATTATACACACGTTAATGAAATCTGATCTAGTGGAATATTTCACGCTGGAAATGCTTCATCTGGGAAACAATCGTATTGAAGTTCTTGAAGAAGGGTCGTTTATGAATCTTACAAGACTACAAAAGCTCTACCTTAATGGCAACTATCTCACCAAACTAAACGGAGGCATGTTTCTTGGTCTTCCCAACCTTGAGTATTTATATCTCGAATACAATGTGATTAAGGAAATTCTACCAGGAACCTTTAACTCACTGCCTAAACTCAAAGTACTTTATTTAAACAACAATCTCCTTCAAGTTTTACCCCCGCATATTTTTTCCGGAATTCCTCTAACTAGGATAAATCTTAAAACAAACCAGTTCACCCATCTCCCTGTCAGTAACATCTTGGATGATCTGGGTTTATTGTCCCAGATTGACCTTGAGGATAACCCCTGGGACTGCTCTTGTGATCTAGTTGGATTACAGCAATGGATACAAAAATTAAGCAAGAACACGGTGACGGATGACATCCTCTGCATGTCGCCACCTCATCTCAACAAAAAGGAATTGAAAGCCCTGAACAGTGAACTTCTCTGCCCAGGTTTAGTAAATAACCCATCCCTGCCAACCCAGAGTCATTCCATGATCGTCACAACTCCTACGAGCACTACAAATACTGCAGGGACTCTTTTAAGCTCTCTCACAGATGCTGTCCCGCTGTCAGTTCTAATATTGGGACTTCTAGTTGTCTTCATCACCATTGTGTTCTGTGCTGCCGGGATAGTGGTTCTTGTTCTGCATCGCAGGAGAAGATGCAAAAAGAAGCAAGTCGAAGATCAAGTGAGAGACAATAGTCCTGTACACCTTCAGTACAGCATGTATGGCCACAAAACAACTCATCACACAGCTGAAAGGCCCTCAGCCTCTCTCTACGAGCAGCACATGGTGAGTCCAATGGTTCATGTCTACAGAAGTCCGTCCTTCGGTCCAAAGCATTTGGAAGAGGAAGAAGAAAGGAATGAGAAAGAAGGAAGTGACGTGAAGAATCTCCAAAGAAGCCTTTTAGAACGGGAAAATCACTCACCACTCACAGGATCAAACATGAAATACAAAACCACAGACCAATCCACAGAATTTTTATCCTTCCAGGATGCCAGTTCATTATACAGGAACATTTTAGAGAAGGAACGAGAACTTCAGCAACTGGGAATCACAGAGTACCTAAGGAAAAATATCGCTCAGCTCCAGGCTGACAGGGAGGTACATTACCCCGCAGCCCATGAAGAACTGAAGTTGATGGAAACGCTAATGTACTCACGGCCAAGGAAGGTATTGGTGGAACAGACTAAAAATGAGTATTTTGAGCTCAAAGCTAATTTACATGCTGAACCTGACTATTTAGAAGTCCTGGAGCAGCAAACTTAGATGGAGACTCGAAGGGCTTTGGCAGAAATGCTGTGATTCTGTCTTAAGTCTAAATCTTGGAAATAAGTGCCTTACATGAGTGAGTAGGTCTTCAATCAGAACTTAAGCACAGCAGTTATATGGGAACAAAGAGAAGAGAAAGAAGCTCAGGGATCATTGGGAGAAGCCATGGCATTATGTTCAGGCAATGTAGTCTATCCCAAATAAATCCTTGCATGTAATGCATTCAAGGATTATGGCGATAAAAAAATAAAAATAAAAGTCACTGTTACATAGAAGTCGTCTTGCACATGTTAAAAAGGTTGAACATTGAAACAATCATTATTTTCTTGAATTGTTTTACCAATGGATTAAAGGAAATTTTATTTCATCATTTAGAAAAGTACCTATATATGTAGTTAGAATATGTCTGGGATATATACTTTATAACTATTGTATGCTTAAAAATCTGCAAACATTCAATTTCCTCATGATAAATACAATGGAACTGGAACTTGAAATGTGTAAATCATAATAGTAAGGAAAATAGAAAAGTTGTAATTAGGTAGGCCAAGAGTTGGCCAAAACTTTGAACAGTGCAAAATTAAATGGCCAATCCTATGCTTTCTGAATTAAAAATGAATGAATAATAGTTCAGATGGGCTATATAAGCAAACTTTTTGGTTTTTCTACACATTTTGTGTGGACATTCATTTTGTCAATGCTGCTGTGAATTAAGGTATATCATTTGTGCTCAAAGTATAATTCTTCTTGGGATATTTAAATATGCTACTGAGATTTGACTGTAAATATGATTAGAACACCTATTAAATTTGCTTATGTTCATAGTATTAATCCTTTGTAAATCTGAATGACCATGATAGAAACATGTTCTTTTTTGTGGCAACGTTACAATTAAAAATATTATTTTATTTTTCATGCTGTATACTGATAGCTGCCATAAATTAGTAGAAAAGGCACTTATAAAGGTAAGTGGTTTATGTTACCTCAAAAGAGGGACAATGCAGCTTTATTTTACAAGAAGGTATAGCTAGATTTCTATGGACTATTTATTCTGTACAGTTTTGTATATTTTTGGTTCATAAAGTAATTATTCTTGGGTGCCTTTCAAGAAAAGTAAAAGTTCTGCTCACTACAATAAAATTAAAATGAACATTATTTTCAAATGTGCTTTCTTCAATTAGTCTTACCTTTTAATTCTATTAAATCAGGTTTACACACACACACACACACACACACACACAAACACACATGAGGAGGTTCCTGTATGTAATGCATACAGAAATATTTTGTTTCCTATATGCAAAAATACATTCAATTTTTGGTGATGATTGACATTAAGCCAAATTAAGGTAAGACTATAGTTTTCCTTTTCAAGAAAATCATTTTACTATATATGCAAAGGTAAATGACTTATTTTTCTTCTTTCCAATTATAAAATTAGGTTTTCACAAGCAAAATGTAATTAGTCAAGAAAATGTAGGACTGTTTGTGAACACAATGCATACTCAGTTTCTCATTTAAGGAAACACTGTATGCAACGAAATACTTTATTTTATTAACTTAATACTATTTTAATGAATTCTGATGGTACTATTGAATATCTTACTTTTTATTGATGACATTTTTGCTTTACTATCAAATTGTAAACTGTATCTGACTTTGAATGAAACAAATCACCTAGCTTATAGAAACTGTGTCTGTGCCATACAGTATGTAGAATAAAACTCCAATGTGAATTCAAATTTACTACATTTTGCATTGAAATAGAATACAAAAGTTGTAATATCTTAAAGGTTAAAGGAAAACCCTAAACTGTTTCAATCATTTTCAGTGTCTTGAAAGAACAAATGTGGATTTTTATTTTTAGTATAACATGTTCTAAACTTAATATATGTGAACATGGAAAGCTTTCTATTTTTTTTTACTATAAAGTACTCTGCACAATAGTAAATTGTAAATAATCAAAGGAGTGATATTATTAGGAATTTTATTCTAAGTAGAACAAGAGTCGAGAATACAATTATTGAATTCTTTTTAGTTGACTATCTGCCAATATTTTCTTTTATTTTGTTCACGTACATAGAAGTAACAGCATGATTTAACCTCCATGCCTGAAGGATCACTGGAATAAATCCAGAAAGTCAAATAGAAACATGTCTTGATGAATGTTCTTTTCTTTTGGATGGAGTAATGATTTTTTTTCAATTTTTATTCATTGGTAATTACTTGAAGTAATGATGTTCATTTTCAACTTATAACTGAAGAATCATTTTCTTTTAATTTTAGTTTTTGTTGGTTGCTTTTTTTCTGTATCTATTCTAAAGACTTGCACTCAGTACCTGGGCACTCTTCCTGAGCATTTTTGCTCCAAGCTGAGCCAGAACTCAGCCTGACCACAGCTAGAGCTCCACTTCTGGCTTCTTTTGATTACTTGGAGATAAGAATCTTACAGATTGGGGCTGGGAAGGTGGCTCAGTGGTAGAGTGCTTGCCTTGCATACATGAGGCCCTAGGTTCGATTCCTCAGCACCACATAAGCAAAAAGAAAAAAGACGGAAGTGGCGTTGTGGCTCAAGTGGTAGAGTGCTAGTCTTGAGCTGAAGAGCTGAGGGACAGTGCCCAGGCCCAGAGTTCAAGTCCCATGACCAGCCCCCCCCCTAAAAAAAAAAAAAAGAATCTCACAGATTTCCTGCACAGTTGGGTTTGAACTGAGATCTTCAGATCTCAGCCTCCTGTGTAGCTAAGATTACAGGCATGAACAACCAATGCCCACAGGAACCAAAATTTTTTTTTTATAGAACCATCCATGTAAATGTATGTTCCAAATTAAACTACAATTCAAGACTAAAAGCCAGTGGAATATAACTTAAAAACTGCCATTTCCAATGAGCATGATGTTTTAATGATGTGTTTCATTTCATTTTATGATTCTTTATTACTCTGCATCCGTATATATGAATAAGTGATCAGAAAACATCCTTTTGGATATTTTGATAAATAAATGAAATAAAAATGTAGGTATGGAGTGAGAAAGAATTTAAAATCCCCATCTGTCACCTGACAGGATGAGCTTACTGGCTTTTTGTATCATTTTTTTAATTGTTAAGGAAATTAAAAAATTTCTTTAACTGGGTGCATGTAATCCTAGCTGCTCAGCAGGCTGATACCTGAGGATCACAGTTAAAACACAGCGGGGGCAGGAAAGTCCATGAGACTTTTATCTCCAACAATCCACCAGAAAACTGGAAGTGGCGCGGTGGCTCAAGTAACAGAGCACCAGCCTTGAACTGAGGAGCATAGCCACAGCACCCAGGCTCAGAGTTCAAGTCCCACTCTGAAAAAAACATTATATATATATACACATATATATATATATGTATATATATATATAATTGCACAAAGAATTTGTCATTTAACAAAGCAGATTATCAATGCAATGCATTTTGTTTTCTTTCTGCTTGAATTTTCTATGTATTTTTTTTAACTAGTTGTTGGATATTTACAAAATCAATATTGGTCTTTACCACCCATTGAGTGGTAATTTATGTGAATCCCTTAAAAATGTTACTGTTTTACCCAATCTTCTATTCTTTCACCTATCAAAATATTATATATTTTTTTTGTTCGCTTAGCAAGCCAATCTGTCTCTCAAACTAACAGAAAAATCTAAATTTCAAAATACTATTTCAGAAATTATCAACAGAAGATCTGGTGACTGAAAGAAAATTATTGTAATTCTTCATGGTTAATTCCTTGATATAAGCAAAGTTACAGCTATTCATGTCACAGTAGTACAAATTCTGGTATGTCAAAAATATCGTTTTATACATGATAGGAGCATAGAGCCATACTTAGTTAATTAAACTCCATTTCAAGTGGTAGACATTAAAAATTCTTAAACATTACCTAACAAATCACATTTTTTTTGGGGGGGGTCCAGTCGTGGGGCCTGAACTCTGGGCCTGGGCACTGTTCCACAGCTCTTCAGCTCAAGACTAGCACTCTACCACTTGAGCCAGAGAGCCACTTCCGGCTTTTTTTCCTGCTTATGTGGTGCTGAGGAATCGAACCCAGCGCCTAATGCGTGCAAGGTAAGCACTCTACTACTGAGCCACCTTCCCAGCCCCAAATCACATTTTTGAATGAGAATAGATGGGATTAGCTATCATATCTCCACAATTGTTCTACAAATATCTTCAATTAATCCCCACCACTGTGAGGAATATTTTTCCATATATGAAGTAAGTGGAAGCCGGGTGCCCGTGGCTGTAATCCTAGCTACTCAAGAGGGTGAGATCTGAGGATCGAGGTTCAAAGCCAGCCTGGGTAGGAAAGTCTGTGAGACTCTTATTGCCAATTATCCACTCAGAAAACTGGAAGTGGCGCTATGGCTCTAAGTGGTAGAGCACTCGCCTTCAGCTAAAGAGCTGAGGGACAGAGCCCACGCCCAGAATTCAAGCCTCACGACTGACCAAAAAAAAAAAAGAGAGAGAGAGAGAGAGAGAGAAACAAAGAAGTCAGTGAATAAGTGTTATCCTCTTGAACTTATCTTTATGTCTAAGCAGGGAGAAATCCTTTCTTTGCTGCCGTAGTGCCAGGTGAACTGAAGCATCTTCTAAGCCACCTCAAGCTATCTTAATTCTATGGCCCAACTAATTCAAAGGTTTAAGACTCAATGAAGAATTAGAAAATGTGATATGGATGTCCTCTTTTAATTAACAAAAAACATTTATATTCCTTTGTTTGTTTACTTGTTTGTTTTAAATTCTATTGGAATTTGAACCAGTGGTTCATGCTTGCTAGGCAGATACTTCACAATTTGAACAATGGCTCCAACCCAATACAGAACTGTTTTTTTTGTTTGTTTGTTTTTTTTTGGTTTTTGTTTTTGGGTCCGGTCGTGGGGCCTGAACTCTGGGCCTGGGCACTATCCCTCAGCTCTTCAGCTCAAGGCTAGCGCTCTACCACTTTAGCCACAGCACGACTTCTGGCTTTTTTCTTTTTGCTTATGTTGTGCTGAGGAATCGAACCCAGGGCTTCATGCATGCAAGGCAAGTGCTCTACCACTGAGCTTCATTCCCAGCCCCCCAATACAGAACTTTTAAAGAATGGCTTATCTCCT